GGTATGTGGCTTCCTCCCACATTTCATAAACCCAAAAGCAGGGCTACAGTCCTCTCTTCTCTCTTGCCTTTGGCCTGCAGAAGACAGCTGGTGGTTTCAAAAAAAACATTCCTGAGACTGTGGTGAAATAGTTGCTTCTTTTTCCCTCCATTAATTGCTGTGGCTTGTTATGAATGTGTATTTTGCCCATTTAAATGAGTTTCAAAACTGAGTCAGGAATGTTCTCTCTTTGATTTGATTCTGATAAGTTACAATGCAGGTGTATTATTCTCAGGTACATGGCAGAGAGAAGTTAAGGGTCTTGCCATACCAAAAAAGTCCAAAAAGCATAGTTTATTTATAGAAATGTAATTTAATGCACCTAACTGGTTCACAGTGTGTCAGCCCTTTCAAACAGAACAGTTGGATTATTAACACAGAAACAGAATCTGGCCCTGTGCTGCATTGCATGGCCAGACCCTGAGGGACAGGACAAACATGCTCTTGGGTGGAAAAAAGTTTTCTTTTCAATTTTATGAATGCATTAAGGGTAAAACTTCATGCAGTGCAAGTACCCCCAGCTCCTGAGCCTTAGTCTGAGAATCCAATTGGCACATAGCAATTCCTGCTGTGGGTTCTTCTGTGAACACGAGCCCGTTCCATGGAGGAAATGGGACAACTTTTCTGCACTAACACAAAGTGTGAGCACCCTTCTGTGCCCTTTGTGTTCACAGTTTGTTTGATGAACACCCCCAGAGGCCGCTCTGCTGCAGGGTTTCCAGTCTGAATTCCAGCTCCTCTCATTCCAGCTGCAGCTCAGTACAACCCATTTTCATTCTCCATTTGAGACAGTCATCTACAGGGAAGAAATCCACAAACAAACCAGTGTTGCTATACCTGCCTTTTTATGTATGACAGTTTCATATCATTTATTTTTAAAATATGTTTTTTAGGTTTTTCATTGTAATATTATTGTACAGTTTTGCATGGCATAGATGTAATCACTTTTTTTTGTTTTAGAGTATAAAAGCTGACAAGTGTGCGTGTGGGGGAAAAATTCTGCTTTTTGCCTCTTCTCACTCTTTTGTTTAATGCCCTCAATGTTGTAGGGGACATTGTAAGAGATTCTCTGCTACAGAACAATGATGTAGATTCTTTTGCACAGAAATATTTAAGGTGGAACAGTCAACAATGTAAAAATGACTTACCACCAATATTTTATGTTGGTAACACACTTAATATTAACCTACTTTGATGTACTGCAATAAAACAGGGAACTGTTAGAAATGTAGATGTTCTGTCTTTTTTCCCACCTTCCCCCACTAAGATTTGAGGAGGAAATAGAAATGGTGAAGATACAACATGCTGGTTCTAACACATGGAGTATGTGAGAAAATTGATTTCCCTTTAACAGCTTTCAGAAAAAATAACCAGATCCTTTTGAAAATACAAAATCAAAGTGACTGGATACTTTTCTATATTGAATAGTTTTCCTGACCTTTTTCTTGGGTCAGCTGTGCTGTGATGACCTAAGAAAAGAGATAGTTATGGAGTTGTAATCAGTGGTTTTGGTGTTCTGCCTTCATTTATAGTTACACATCAAATATTTCAGCTGTCTTAGTGCTAGAGCCTGGATTGTTTCTTAGTTCTGAGCTACCAGCATCACATTGGCCTTGATGCACTTTTAAGTACATCTCAGAATATTTTTTGAAGTTTTGCATGTGCCCTGACCCTTTCCTGTCATCCCATCCCTCCCAAGTCAGCCTGGAATTTTTCCTGTACCACAGTGTGTTGGTGCATCTTCCTCTTCATTCATTCCCCTCTTGGTGTAATGTTGGAAATGGCTTTGTTGGGCCTGGGGCAGTTTATATTAGATATTAGGAAACATTTCTTCACAGGAAGGCGTGTGAAATAGGGGAACAGGCTGTGCAGGGAAGTGGTGCAGTCACCATCCCTGCAAGTGTCCAAAGGATGTGTGGATGTGGCACTTAAGGACATGGTTCCATGGTGAACAGGGCAGTGCTGGGCTCAGTGCTGGTTTTGATGATCTTGGGGGTCTTTTCCAGCCTCAGTGAGTCTGGGCTAAGTCCTGGCTTTGGTACCTGCTTCAGGAATACAGCACTGGGCTGTTATTCATCCCACACTGCCAGCAGTGCCAGCCTGGGCATTCTTCCATTTCCAAACCCTCTCAGGACCAGGCACCATGATTCCCCCTTCTTCCAAGGCTGCCTGACTCCTGTCCCTCTCTTTCAGTCAAAATGTTCACGTGGATTTAAGCCCATGGCTCATCCCATTGAGGCAGCTGCTGTAGCTCTGGGACATACCCCGGTCCCTGTGCTCTGACTTTTCTATCAGCACTTTATTTCTGATTTCCCAGGGGTCCAGTTGCACATCACAGCTGTGAAGGTCTTGGGAAATGGGCCTTGTAGTCAGGGATCTGGGCATTATAAAAGCAGAAACTGATCTGCATGTTCAGCTCCTCAGCATGCAGTTTCTGTTTTGATGCAGCAGCCAGGCTGACTAAAGAAAGCAAGCAGGAAAATCACTGCTACCAGAGGCAGCCTGAATCTTGTTCCTTTACAATGGAAAATCACTGTCATTCCAGAGGCAGCTTTAATCTGCAGCTTGCCCTCTGCAAAGAAGAAATGTTTTCACAAGAGATTTTTCTAGACCACAGAAGCTTCCTGCAGCACAGAACAGTCACATCCTCCAGCCTGCAAGCACAGTTCAAGCAAATGCAGTGCCTGGCATGGACCAAGTGTCCCTGCTCACTGCACAATGTCACAACTGCTCTGACTTGAAGCCAGAGTTTCTAGCTCACGTTTTCTACAGGGCTGTTGCTCTGACATGCAATTCCTCCTGTCACAAATCTCTCTGGACAAAGCTACAGCCATTATTAATGCTTTCAGAGCATACACAAAAGGTCAGGAGAATTAGTGACTCAGGGCTCTAATTAGCTCTCCTAATAAAGCAACATCTCAGCTTCTGCAAGTTGCTACCCTCTGGCAAATGCAAAACAAACTCCACTGTTCAGCTGGATGTCATTCCTAAACCCTCTTGGGAAGGGGAATGTTTGCCAGGAGCTGAGCACTCTTGCCCCAGCATGGTATACACAAGATCTGGGCTGACATGAGCAAGGGGAAAACTGAACTGCAGTGCTCCAGCTTACTCTGCTCTCTGAACATGCTGGCCTTGAATCTTCACTTTCAGAAAATCTTCTCTGAAGCTCACCTAATCTAATTCCCTTGTCAGCTTTTTATACTTTACTTTCTAAACTTTATCATAAGCATTTAACAGCTCAAACAGCTCTGTTGTTTTTACAGCTGCAAGGTCTAGAGCCAAAGGAGAAAAACTAAACAGTGTCTATCAGAACTCAAAACAAGGGAAGTTACTGTAACTTTGTACGCTGACAAACTGCTTGATGCAAAACTATTACTTCATTGAACAGCAGTTAACTCTTCTCAAAAGGTTAAGAATAATCTGACTGGGATTTTGAACTGAACTGCACTGCATCTTGTTCAGTAAAGTCTTAAATGAAGTGGCTTATATGCTTATGCCTTTGGAATAAAGATAATACCAGTACCTGTTTTCCTATTTCTCAGATATCACTCCTGAGAGAGAGAGAATTTATTCTCTTACCTGTTCTCTCCCTCTGAAGTGTCAGCTGTCAGAATTTCACACATCCTGGAGTGTAAGATCAGGCAACCTGGGCATTCCTGGGCTCTGTTAGCTGAGCAGGACCAGCTGAGCCTGCTGGTAAATCAATACCTGGCACTTGCCTTATGAGCACCAGGGAAGCCTCAGCTGCACCAGCCTCTCCTTCACAAGTGCAGGAAAGGCAGAGAGACTTGTGTTCAGGAGGCTGCTACCAGAGTGATAGAAACAAAGGATAATTAAAAAACAAGTAAATTACCAGGGATTTTCATGGCATGACCATGAAAATCAACCATGACTTCTGCTGAGCTGCAGTTTATCCCCAGAACAGGACACTGCTCACCTGAGTGTCCATTCCCACACAGAAGATGACACAGCCACAAGCAGCAGGCCCACGGCACAAGCACTTGTTTATTGACATCAGGAAGTTGTACAGGTTCAGGCTTTGTACAAAAACCTACAAAAGTCAATTTCCTAGCTCGACTCCAGGAGTTTAAAACTGTGCGTCTGGTTTGAACTGTGTGACATTTCAGCTGCTCTCCAGAGGCAGGACGTTTGTTTGCCTTGCTGCAAGTTCTGCCTCAGGGAAACACACAGAGCAGGTTTTAGTCAGGAGTCCAGCAAGCAGTGGGGGTCAGAGTTGGAGCTTATCTAACTCACCCTCAGGAAAGCAGTGCAGAATCCCACTGGGTGTGCTCAGATCTAGCTCTGCTGATTACATGTTTGACTCCCAGAACTGAGATGGGTTGTGAGAGTGTGCATGTGTGTGTGTGTGTTTAAAAGAGACTGGCATTCAATTCTCGGACTTTTAAAATATTTCCTATGTTTAGCTTGCAAGCCAGAAAGAGGCAGAAAGCATCAAACTTCAACATACACACACGCCCCTTGTATTAACTCAATGTCAGAAGAATCCAGGAGGGTTCTCAGACTGCCACCACTTGACTTACAAAACGTGGGGGAGGTGCTGGATGTGTCTGTGGTAGGGAACACCTTGGTATCTCATTCTCTAAATTCACAGTATGAAAACTACTTGAATTCCACCTCAGCTTGAAAGAGGGAAGGTTTTTAAAAAACAATTTGTGGACAATTACAAATAGGTTTCAATATTAAATTCTGCTCTCATCCTCCTTCCCCTACTCGTTATAAAACCCTCTCAATAATGCAGCCACCATCACAATGTTACAAATGCATTCAAGGTAGTCAGCTGGTGCCTTGAAGCAGCACAGAAGCACTCAAGAGTTTCCTGCAAGCTGTGGGCTGTGCTGGCAGTCCAGGCAGGACAGACAGAGCAGGAAAGAGCAGCTTTGTCCTCATGGAATGCACCCTTGGCTTCCAGGGCATGGGGCTGCTGCATCTCAAGAGGATGGAGGGCTGGGGAGGCTTGGAACGCTCTCTGCAAGGCTCAGCTGAAACAGACCCTCACAACAAAACAAGTTCCTCTTACTACTCCTCTGGCTTCTTGCCCCTACTGCTCCAGTACTTGCTGTATGCCTCTTGGAACATGTTTTTGCAGGGAATTTTGGCCTTCAGTTTGGTGCAGATGAGGAAAGAGCCGCCCATCTTCCGGTGAAGGGAGTAGGTCTCCTCCGGCGGGGGGATGAGCCGGTGCTTCAGCATGATTGGGATTAAACCATGGATCTTCTCAGTGGTGCTTTGGTTGCCAAAATCAAAAGGCTCCTTAGATGCAAAAGCCTCTCCCAGGATGAGGACAGCATTTAAATGGGCATCTTCCATTTCCTGCCCAAAAGGAAAGAGGGATAAGTAACACTTAACTAGAGAGATGACACCACTAGCCATGACAACCACCAAGGAGGAAAAGAAATGCCAGTGCTAACAGCAGCAGCTCAGGAGAAACAGCCCTGTCCACGACTAAGGGAACCTCCAGCCCCCAGCAAGACTGAGGAATTTAGTTCATACAGTTTTGAGCAGCTAAACCTTCCAGAAAACCATCTTCCCAGTCATACAACATGCTGGTTCTAACACATTTGCACAAGGGCACAGTGGGAAGGAGTATGTGAGAAAATGGATTTTCCCTTAACAGCTTTCAAAAAAAATAACCAGATCCTTTTGAAAATACAAAATCAAAGTGACTGATACTTTTCTATATTTCATGACTTCCCAGTCAGGAAACTTCAGGAATTGTCATCAACTGCAGGGTCTTGCACAGGGAGAGAAGGAAGGACAGTGGTTTTGGGGCTAGCTGTGTCCTTATTATTTTCCTGCTCCCAAAAGGAAGTGAGAACAAAAGCCAAAACCTTTTTTACCCTCCTCTCTCATGCTTATCAAAAGGGCTTTTGGACTGACACTTTTAGCACACCAAGAAGTCTGGGGAAGTTCACAGACCTGCAATCACCTTATCTGTGCCCAACACCAAAATCAGACCCTTCTGCTCCATACCTTGATTTCATAGCCAGTGAGGAATTTCATTTCAATGGACTTCTTCAGTACTCTCTCTCTGTCCATGTCAGCAGCTGCCTTGATTACCTGAGAAGGAGGAATGCTTTCAGGAGAGCCAAGAGAAGAGTGAACAGCAGGACTGCTGCCCAGGCCACAGGAGCCCACACCAACACCAGCCACTGCTCACTCCCTTGCCTCTGCCCTCTCCTCAGGCCCTGCATGCTGGGCAGGTTAAGAGCTACTGCTAAAAGCTCCACCTCTTCCCAACAGGGCTGCACATGGCCCAGAGAGTGTAAGGGACAGCAAAAGAAGCTTCACAAATAGCCAGCCCCTCCCCAAAGAAGCAGCAGAGCTGACTGTGAGCAGCTTTAGGTGGGAGCTGCTGGCCCTGGCAGCTCAGTTACCACGTGCAGAACATGGTGAGCACAAAGGAAGCATGTTTGACTTCACATCCATTCATCTGTCTGTGGAAAATCTGAAAATCTCAGGAGCAGGTGGAGAACAAGCAATTCTTGCATATCCTCATATAAAAATCACAGAATTGTGAGTGCCCTGATACACCCAAGGCCCCCAGCAAGCATCACTGCAGTGCACTTGTGTGAACATCCCACCTCAGAGAGGCAGCAGCTTGCAGCACATCTGCAGCCAGCCATGGCAAGGGATGAAACAGGAACAGAGACCACTCTTGCCTCCAGCCCTGCTTCCCCCACACCCAAAGTGTATCCCAGTACAAAGTGATAACAGCTAAGAGATAAGAGTATTTGCAAACTCAAGTGCAGCTCTCTAGGGCACAGTGCAAGTCCTCACCTCTATGTAGACATCTGTGAACTTCTCATCAAACCCTCGTGTTGCTCCAAAGTCCAGCAGGGCCACCTGGAATGGACAAAGCTGTTTGTCTTAGAGTCAACCACACCTGATCTTAAGAATGCTCCTGATTTCTTCAGGAACAGCTCTCCTCTGCATCCCAGCTGCCCCTGTCTGCAGCCCTGAGGGGCAGGGCTGAGGCCACTGCCCAGTGCTCACACTGCCACTCCTGCTCTGCTGGCAGCTCCACTCAGGCTCCATGTGCAGGGACAGAGCACCACTGAACCTTTTCCCAGCACTTTGCAGCACAGACCTCAGGGATAAAAAGCAATTCCATCTGCCCTACAGAGCACAGACAAGCAGCCAAACCAGTGAGCAGGAATTAATAGTCTTATCTCCACAGCACAAGAGCATTTAGCTGAAGAGTCCAGGGCTCAGGTGTGTGCTGGCAGAGCACTGCCTGCTGCAGCTTCCCACCTTCAGAACAGATCCTGAGGTTAAGGAAGTAGCTGTGACTGCTCAAGGGCCAGGGTTACAGCAGCCCTGCTTTCCTGCTGAGCCCTAGAGAGGGCAAGTGGCAAAGGGAGGTTTCCCTGTGCTATCTGCCTCAAGGACAGGAAACTGAGAATCCCAGTCAGGACTCATTAAGTGGGGAGTGGGAATGAGGAATAACCAAAAGCTGGTGAAAACTGCTGTTTGTGAAGGCAGGAGAGTGGCTGCTCAGGCTTACCTTGTGCAGCTGTGGGTCATAGAAGAAGTTGGACCAGTTGGGGTCGGTCTGCATGTAGCGGAACTCAAACAGCTCCCGCAGGCACAGCACCAGGATGTTGTGGCAGATCTTTTACAACAAGGAGAAACAAGAAACAAATTCACACCTGTAACTTAGAGCAGGCATCAGCAAACAGGGCACACACTGCCACACCAGCAGGAACCATCTGCTCTATGCAGAGCTGAAGGAACACCTCTCACCACAGCACCAGCAACTCCCAGCCCAGCCCTGCCATGGGATGTCCTTAGCAGATGGCACAGATGCTCCAGTGCTCATCCAGCTGCATTCTGCTCCTGCCTTTTCACTTTCCAGCACTGACTACACACTGGGTGCTGCAAGAATGGGAATCTTGTATGATACCAGACCCAGCATGCACCCCTGTGGGCTCAGCACTGACCCAGCTTGAGGGAGGAGCAGAGAGCCACACCTTGGGACTCACAGGCACAGAAAAGCAAGAGCAGCAGTCCCTGAAACCCCCCCTGCTGGATTACACACTCCAGCAGAGCTTTTCTGTGAGAATTGCTAAGCTGGAGCCTGTTGAGCAGAACTGCCAGCCTCACTCTGCCCCTCTCCAGCTGCTGCAAAGCTGAGTGAAACACCATATCCAAGGTGCAAGGAAGAGAGCACCAAGTGCAAGCCCAGCCCTGCTGCAGGACCCTGCCATTGGGGTCAGAAGGCAGAGGGTCAGCCAGGCCAGTGGCTCACAGGAGAGAAGGGCTGTTCCTGCAGCTCAGAGACTTTTAAAATGAGGCCTGATGATGGAGCAGCTCATTGCTGGGGACAGTCCCTAAGAACAGCCAGCCAGCTCTGGCACAGCTTCAAATCTAATGTGACACTGAGATCTGTTTAACCAGGGGAACAGAGTCTGCCCTCTTCCCCAGTCACCTAACAGCTGACAGCTCACACACACAGACACACACACATCCAAATACCAGCACAGTTATTTCTGCTGCTAGAACAGCTGCTTGTCCCACCACAGCACTCCAATCCCTGGCTATATTCAGCACCAACACCCACCTATCCCCACATCCCTGCTTTTGTTTACTGACAGGTACTTTTCCAGCCAGTCCTGCAGGAATGACACCCAGCTTCTTGCACTGGGATGATTCTGCAATCCTGCCCACAAGAGCAGCTGCATAAAGCACCTTTGCCCTTAGTGACAGTCCCCCCAAAATTAAGGTCATCAGAAATGGCATCACACAGTGAGGCCACCTCCCCTTCAGCTGCCCTTGCCATTCACCCTCTCCAGCCCCTCCCTGCAAGGCCCAAATGAGCCTGGAGAGACTCCAGTGTCACTGCCACCTTCCCTAAACAAGTCTTCCTGGAGGCTCCAGACAGTCCTGCTCAAGGTTTGCTGTGCCACAAGGCATGCCCCCAAGCCTGGCACAGGGCTCTGAGCAAGGGCAGAAACCCAGCATCCCAAATTCACCTCATTTCGAATCTCCTGGCTCAGTCCTTCAGCTTGATCCAAGGGAAAGCCAGACACCAGCTCTGTGGTCAGCACGTGCTTGCTGCACAGCTCATCTATTACTCTGGGTACATAAAAGAAGGGGTGGTCTTTCAGCAGCTCCCTAGGGGTGGAGAAAGGAGAGGAAGAGGTTTAGGAGCCCTGAGAGCAGACAGACCCATCAGCAACACCTCACAGAGCCCTGGACCAGCCTCTCCCCACACCCTGCCTGGGGCTGCCAGGAAATGTTTCCCTCAGCAATTACAGTAGGGATTAAGTCAGCAGAAACCCTGCCAGTGACTTGGAGCTGCTGCCAGCTCCTGAGGTCCCATCTCCTGCCAGAGCAGTGATACTAAGAAGGCTCCAGGCTGGTGCATCAAGGGGCACTGGGCTCTTCTGCTGACCCCACTTGGCTTTAGGGCCAGAGTGCACACAGGGAAGAATTGCTTTGCCAAGGGGAGCAGTGGCACAGTTCTGCAGCAGGACAGGAAGAGCATCCAGCACCATGGAGAAACAATCTGGGTGCTTTGGCAAGCCAAGGGAGCAGGCAGCACTGCTGGTGGTAACTGCCTGAAGAGAGCTGAACTGAAAAGCTCCTGGGCTGAGGGATGGGAGAAGTTAACCACAGGCTGAGGTAAGAGCACTGCAACCCAGCCTCAGGAGTTACTGCAGCACCTTCACATGTGGCACAACAGACAGACTTGCACCAGAGGAGGTGATCACATCTCATCTGATCCATGCCCACTGAGACAAGGTGGTGATGCTGGGGCACAGCTCAGGCCACAGCCATGCACCCTTCCCCTGTGCCATGGCAGGGCACAGCAGTCAGCTCACACCATCCCTCAAGTTAAGCAACCTCTCCTGCCTCTCCCACACACACAGAGAGAAGGGGTTCAAGGCAATGGTGGGAACATACTGGAATTTCCTTGCACAGGCAGCTTCTCTCAGGTAGTCACACTCCAGGGCCAGCTCTCTGCTCACCACTTCAATCAGGTGCTCTGGGAACAGACCTGAAAGTCAAACAGCACAGAGAGAGCAGGCTTAGAAAAAAGGATCTGCTCAGGCTAAGCTTCCCAGAGCTGCAGCTGAGGAGCACAGGAGGCCCCAGAGAGCCAAGGTGCATTTCCAACCAGATGCAGGTTGTGCAGTAATCACAGCCCAGGCACATCCACAGCACTGCTCTGTCCTCCCCACAGCCCAAACTGTCCATTCCTGCTGCTGGCATGGCTGTGCAGGGACACACACCACAGACAAGCACCCAAGCACTGGGTACAGCAGCAGGAACAGCTCCATAGCTGCCTGCAAGTGGCAGCAGGCACTGCCAGGCACAGTCAGCATGACTAATGCAGTGTACTGCAGCAGCAGCACGTAGCCAGGGCCTGAGGTGCCAAGCCCAGTCTTAGTCTTGAATTTGGAAAACCAATCTGCTCCTTGGGCCAGACACAGCTGTGGCTGCAGCAACCTCTGCAGGGCCCTGCCCAGCCACCAGAGAGAACAGTCCCAGATTCTGTCAGCACCCAGCCTGATTTTAGAGCAGCATTTGTACAGTCCCACTGATATTTACAGCTGCTGCAGGCATGTATTTGGAAAAAAGAGTGGTAAGTCCTGCATTCCCTGTGGGAAAAGGGACTTATCCATGTGCTGGGACACTGAGCAAGTTCTAAGTCAGACAGTTCTCCGAAAGAATAGAGAACATCTGGGAAGAGCACAGAATGGCAGGCATGGAAAGCTACAAGGGAACATGGAGAAGAATGAGTTCTGCCAAATGTACCAGAAAGTAACAGGACAAAGCAAGACTACCTCACCTGGACACTGCCCACACTCCAAGCCTAGAAAGCCATCAAAAGTGAGTATTCCCGGGCACTTTCTATTTTGCCAAGAATCCCTATGTGTCTGTCTCTATAGAGAACACACAGAGACAAGTGCAGTTACTCTGCAGGTGTGTGCACACACATGGCCACAAACACACAGCTGCACTTCCCACCTGTGCAGCACAACAGGGGAACAAAGCATGGCTCCCCAGGCTGGCCCTGCACCCTCTGCCTCTCCTGCTTCCTGCAGGAATCTGCTCCTGGGCACACTTAGCATCCTTAAGTTCCTTTCCCAGTCCTTGGAGGGACACATGCAATGTGCTGCTTAAAAGGGGTTGGCAGAACTCCACCTGGAAACACAGGGTCTCTGTCTTTTTACCTTCAGGGAGAATATTGCTCATGCTCAGGACAGCCATCAGGTTGTTGACATCACTGTTGATGCTCTGGGCCACTCCAGGGTACTGTGGGACACAATGGGAGAGGGCAGTGTTGGGGTTAGATGAGGCCTGGTTGTACAGGGCAGGATAAAAACACCTGGCTCAGCACCCACACCACAGTGGGCCAGGGCATCCTGAGCCACATATCCCTCCTCTAAAAGCTTTCTCAAAGCCCAGCATCTAAACCAGGGGACACACAGACAGGCTAAGATGCAGCTCCCTGCAATCAGAATGGCCTGTTCAGATCCTCTGATGGGAATTCTTCCCACACATGATGAGTTCTCAGACACACAAATCTCACAACAGCCATGGCAGTCAGTCCTTTCCCTCCCACAGCTGGAAGCACACAGCCCTAGAAGCCCCAGAGTGTCATTCCCAGCAGCAGGGCAGGTGGTGGGGCCCCAGCCCAGTCCTGGCAAGGCACCTCACCCTGTTCTCACCCTGTCTGTCAAGGGGAAGGAGCCTGCACTGCTGAGGAAAATGTGTGCTGATGCCAGAGGGTTCAGTTTCTGCTGCTGTTACCTTGGCCTGACTTCAGAGAGCACTGGGGACACAAATTGCTTCAGAAGACACCCACACCCATTGATAATATTGCTAAAGTCTCCCCATACTACAAAAACCCACCAATGAGTTGATCCCAGCTTTGCCTGGGATACTGCTCAGCCAGCAGGAACCTCACTCCTTGGGATTAGAAACCATGCTGTAGAAGGATGGTTTACAAGCTTTAGCTCTAGAATGTCATTTTGTTGGAAACAGCCACCTGAGGTTGCTGACACCCAGAAAGGGGCCTGGGGCATGTGCACATCCCAGAAAAGGGAGTGACCTGGGGAGCAGGTGGGACCCTCCCAAACAGCCCTAAAAGTACAAGCAGTCCCTCAGCACCATTATCCCAAACTGCAGTGAAAAATTTATGGGATGTCTCCTGCTCATCTGGACTCAGACTGGCTCAAGCTGCAAAACCTTTGCTGTGTTTTCCACTCAGCTTGCACTACATAAGACTTCTTCACTTCCATTAAAATGTTTCTTATTTGTCTAGCAGCACACACATAGCTCCCCTGCCCTTCTCTGAGCACAAACAAGACATGGCTGCTCTGTTAAGCCCACCTGGATTTTCATGGCAACTTCTTTCCCATTTTTCAAGCGTGCCAGATGAACCTGACCGATGGAAGCAGCAGCAAAGGGGCGTTCTTCAAAGGACTCCAGTTTATCCCTCCAGTTGGGGCCCAGATCGTTGTTCAGAGTTTTCTACAAATAAATAGAAAGGATCAGGGTATGGGAAGCAAAGATTTGAGACTTTCAGTCTTGGAAATCACGTTCCTCTAAGGTGGCTGAGTTCTGAGTGCCTATAACCTGCTTTCTAGATGATCCTCTGTGCCTTGTCATTGCACACCAAGGCAGGGAGTGGTGCAGCCAGCAATGCTGCCCCAGCACTCTACAGGTGCTGATCAGATCTCTGTGGGGCTCTGCCCTAAGGGACAGAAATCTGGAACACAAACACTGCTGCCTTGGCATACAAACATCCCCTTTTAGGTGCCACTTGCCATCTTCCAGAAAATGAGCAAAGAAAATGAGTTAGCTATTTCTCCTCTTTCATCATCCTGCCAAGCTGCAGAGAAGCAATCCAGGCATGACTCTCTTTAAGGCAATATTGACAATTAAACACCACAGCCTACTTTAACATCTTTTTTGCTACCCTGCCAGACTGCCATATTTAAGTTCTAGCTCTGCTTAGTGTCTTGCAGAAGATAAGTAGTGCTGGCAGTTCCTTTGGCATCACCCTTTACACATTAATTTACAGAGAACATAAACACTGGGGAAAGCAAACTTAGTTCACTTCATTCTGGGTTTTCTTGATGGCAAGTTAACCAAAATGGTAAGGACAAAGCTGCTGGTTATTTTCCATCAGACTGAGGCTTGTAAGTCTGTTTCTAAAATGGGATGTAGACATATCTAGACACCACCTTAAGACCCACAAGAAAGAGAAGAGGAAACACAAGAGGAGGCTACACTCAGCAACACCCTATAACCATATTTGTGGCAGCATCCTGCTCCATATCAACATTAATCTCAGGACATGAAAAACTCCCACATTTTTCCCCCCTCTGTCTAGACCCAAACTTTCAATTTTTTGAGAGAAAAGACAACACACAATTGAGAGAAGGAATCACACTTTACCCCCAACTGAAAATATGTAACCTTACTGAAATATTCTATAAAATCCCCATCCACCTCCCTTACTGGGGCATGTCACAGGTGACATTTTTCCTGTCCATTGTCCCTTTCCCTGGCAGGCACTCAGGAATATTCCTCACCATCATCTGCTTTATGGGCATGAAGTCGGCGCTCTGACGCACGCGCTCAAAGATCCTCTGCAGGTGGGGGTTGATGAAGGCATCATCTGCCAAGGGAAAGCACACAGCACTCAGAGCAGCCATTGCATCCTTCAGCACACCAAGGAATGTGCTCCTGCATCCAGGCAGGTCAGCTGTCCTGCCCAGGCACACCCCAGTGAAGGTTTTAGGAGTAATTCTTTAATTCTTTTGGTGTGGTGACAGGTGACAGAGCCAAGAGCAGAGTGCTCTGTCCCTGTCACAGCCCAGCTCATCTCCTGGCTGGCAGCATCCATGTCTAGGAGAGGCCACTGCCTCATGCAAACACAGGTCACAAAAGGGACCCCTGGGAGCCATCCCAACTCTCCAAGGTTCCCAGTGTGGTTTAATCCAGTGCATTTTAAGGGGCAGCAGCTCCTCCAGAATGCTGTGCAATAAAACACCACTTAGACAAGTGCTGAACTCTTGGAGAAACCAGGATTCAGCATCTGCTACTGTAAACAACTGCCCAAACACAGAGCAACTACAAATGAGCAGCAGAGAACACAGCTGGGCCCAAACTTTTAAGTCAGAAGTATTTAGCAAGCAAATATTTACACTCATAAGAGGAGGGGCTGGGGCATCTTGAAAGATTAATCCTCTGCTTCAGCAAAGGCTTCTACAACAACTCAGAGAAAAACCACCACTGCTGGCAAACTTTTCATTTCATAAATGATTGTAAAGCAATCATATTTACCTGCTGCTCTCTCAATACTGGAAAAATCCAGGCTACAAGCCTTGATCCTGAGAACTGAACCTGCACATGCAATTGTGACATTCAAACAAAAATTGATTGTTCCTGTCTAAATACACATGCATGAACCACATTATGTTTATCCCAGGAAACAAGAAACAAACAGTGACCTTAAGAGGACTGTCCTGGGAAGAAGGATGGAAAGGAATGGACAAAAAAGATAAATAATGCCGAGATGTGACATTAACACTCAGCATTATTTACAAATTCCCACTGAAGCCATAGCAGCATTTAAAAGCACTAACAAAAGCCCACTGTGGAGCCAAAAGAAGTTTGTAAGAGGATCAGGCTTTGCAGGAGCAGTGAGTGGAGCTCCTGTGTGATGTTACAAACCTGCAGGAAGGTGAGACATTGCTTTTGGGTGTGCACTGACAGAAACACCTGCTCTGTCACTGATGCTGTATCACTGCCCAGCCTCTGAACACACTCAAAAATATTCTCAGGGCTCTGTGGAGGTATTCACCACCATGCTGCAATGTGTCACCTGCACTGCCAAGGGTGACTGGGCAAAAGGAGAAGGGATCTCACTAAGAGTGACTCCCAGAAGCTGTTTGTGTCAAAGCATCAGCATCTGCCACAGGCATTCAGGATCAGCCTCCTTTATTCTGCTCACTGCTGACATCCATAAAGCTCTCAAAGGGCTTCCACCCATAGTCTGGGAGGGCATCCATCCTTACCTGGGGTGCTTGACCACCCCCAGCCTTTGTTCATGAGCAGAACATCAAATAGCCAAGGAACCTGCAAGTCCAGGCTGAGTGTACAGAAACTCAGCAGCAATGTCAAAAATCAGCCCTGCTGTGGAGGCAGCTCTGCCAGGCTTACCACACGCTGATGAATAAGGTTTTACGTCTTTGTGGTCAGTGCTGAGGCCTCACTGGAACAAAACACGAAGCAGGAGCCAAGGCAGGGCACTCTCAGCTGCCTTTCCACCATCTCCCTCAGTACAGGATGACTGGGGGCCTTTGGCATCTTTTCTGTGCAGCACCTTTAGGAATGTGGGTCCCCACAAATCCACTGACTCCCCAAACAGACGTCAGGGGTTTTAATGAAATTGCTTTGTGACTTGTGCTCAGCTACAAGGAGCCTCTGCTCCCAGTTAACACCCAGACCTGCTGACAGAAGCAGTGAATTCAAACTCACCAGGCCCCAGAGAAGCCCATGAAGTGGCAGGACCTGTGTGAAACCCTCCTGTCCGAACAGCCACCCCAAGAAACAGACACTCTGCATTGTCTGATTTATCTCAGCACAGCTGTCCCCCAGCAAGGTCACCACAGGCCTGTGTTCCTGCCAGGCACAGCAGAATCCACACACTTATAGCAAGAGTCCAAATGAGGGCTGGCTACAACCACTGAGGTTGCTGAAGGCTGTTCTGACACCAGAGTGAAGTCAATCACCAAGTATTTGACACTCCTGCCAGAGCAGTGTAACCTTAGGAGACAGCAGGCAAGTTATAAAAATCCAGAGCATTTCTGCTCCTCAGAGACAGCCTTTCATAGTTCCTTCTCTGCACTCACATCCAGGCCTAGGGCAGCTGTGACCAACCTTGGGCACACAGCAGGCACAGCTCAGTGCTGTCCCAAGGATCTGAAATTAATCCCACCTAGGGCAGATGAGTTTCAGTGCAGAGCTGATTTCCAGCAATGGCTTGCTCTGCCCACATACCAGGGCAGGGGAAGGCAAGGAGCACAGGAGCTCCTCCTGGACCTGCACTGTGAACCAGCAGTGGCACCTGGCAGCTTCTGGAGGGTGAGAAAGCAGCATGTGGGTGGCAGCCTTTGGCACAGCTGCTGATGCCTCCCACTGGGCTCTGCCAGGTGGCCATCAGCCTGGCAACCCCTAAACCAACTGATTAGCAAATGAAATGCCAGTCAGGGCTCTCTGGGACACTGAACTGATCTTGTCTGGTTGGTAAGGCCAAAGTATTTAATACTCTACTAGATCCAGTCTCATCAGCTGATACCTACAAAAATTCAAGTGGAAGCACAAAGGAAGCAAAGTGAGTACTTCAAACACTCAGACACTCAATTTCAGAAAAACATTGAAAGCTATTTCCAGACAAGTCTCACAGCTATTTTTGGCTGGTTCTTTCCTTCCCTATCAGGCTGGGCAGCAAGGCAAATTGGAAAGATGCAGATAAGGTTTGAACTGAGCACACCTGCCAACTCCCTAACACTTTAGTGCAGACACTTGATGTCACTCATGCCTTCACCTGTGGTCACTGGCCTCAGAGCTCAATGGGTTAAGCAGCAATGAAGTCTTCTCAGGATGGAAACAAGTGTTTTATACTTGATAAGATTATCAGCTGTACTGGCCCTTCCAGTAAAGCTTCAGTGCCCACAGAGCATGTAAGCCACAATCAGGTTGCTATAATGGGAGAGTATTGTGGATAAAACCTTGACCACTTTTGGTGAACAAAGAACAGGATCACATTCTTGTTGTCACCCTCCTCCTTTCTAGCAGGACACCTGCAAATAGAGTGCAATACAGCTCTGCTTGTAACACAGACACTAAAATTCACAGTGTCACCCTACTGTCAACCAATTTCAGTTACAATAAGGGACACTGGGAAAGTGGTGGTGTCTAAGTGCATGCACCTATTTATTTCATACTGGGATTAGATGGAACTCAAACATTTCCATCACTGCTCTCACAGGACAAAGCCATTTGTTCAGAGTCTCTACACTCACTTGGCACTGCCTGATTTCAGACAGCTGACCCTGTGTCACAGCTGGCAGCCCTAAGGACAGCTGGGGACCTGTGCTAAGGACACTCACCTTGAATGCTCAGCATCTGTCCCAGCTTCAGTGCTGCTCCCCGCACCTTGCACAAGGTCCTCACGATCCTTTCTGCATTGGCCTCTGACAGGAAGGGGCTGGAATCCATCACTGCTTTCTTCCCTGAGAAAGGAGAAAGAGCATGAATGAAGAACACCCTCATCTTGGCAAGCCCACATTCAACAGGAGATTTGCCCTTCCCTAGGGAAATCAAACCAGGACTGCGCTGAGTGCCTTCACTGCAAGCCAGGACTGAATTGTACATGTGCCTTGGGACAACTTTGACATTGTCGGCTTGAGGGCCAGGAGCAGCAAGTCACAGCCTCCCAGAATGTGCTGCTCTGCAAGCTGTCTGGGATCCTGGGTAATCTCGGTGCTTGAACTCACTGTGCCAGGCAGCACAGCCTAAAACACTGTGCAAAGGTGGCTTGAGTCCCACAGCATGGGCTGCAGCACAGCCACAGCCTCAGAAGGGCAGTGGGGGTGAGCCACAGCAAGGAGGAATCCTCAAAAGCCTTGGAAGAACACTGGCACAGACCAACAGCCCTCTTCCAGCCTCTTAATGTGGAAGCTGACACAGAACAAGGCCAAAACATACACACTCAAACACACTTTCCTGTCCCCAACATGTGTAAAGCCTGGTGTGTGACAGGCTCAGAGAGCTCACACAGCCATGCACACCCCAGTGCCACACTTCCAAGTATGCAACAGGGCCATTGTGTGGCATAAGAAGCACTTTAATTTATTTTATTTTTATTAAGGAAGAGGGGAAGGAGCCCCTGATTCGAGTTTGTGGTCCCTTTGGGAGAAGCAGCCCAGAGCTCCCATCAGTGGAGCAGGGACAGAGGGGACAGACAGACACCACCCACCCACCTCTCCTGCTGCCAGCCAGCCAAGCAGGAGCAAGGGCAGCCTGCAGAGCTCACATGCTGATCTTGCAGCTACATTGCTTTTAGAATATTTTAGAGGAACAGAAGACAAACAATATGTTCATAAACATATTGTTTATGAAGCCTCCATAAACAATAAGCAGCACCCAAAAAGGCAGAGCAGATGAAAACAGCCCAGGAGATCTCAGGCAGCAGATGGAAATGACTGGTGTGCCCTGTGCTGACCAGAGCAGCCAGAGATCCTCTCCTGGATCTCTCAGGAAGGTACACAGAGGACTTAGACTGGCCAGGGGACAGGAGAAATAACAGAGACAGACTGAAGTAGCTGCTGTCTGAACTCTGGTAGCTCCCACAACTTGGTACCATTTTCTTGAGATGCCAAGCATGTTACTGATCTGACAGACACCCTTCAGTCCCTGCAAGCAGCTGGATTGCTCACAGAGCCTCCCTGCAGAAGTGGTTCCAGAGAACTCTGCACTGGCAGAGCACAGATGTGCAGGTACAGGCTGCTCTCCTGCCCTTCATCCCCTCTCTTTCTTTCATCTGTTTGTGGGACAGCAGCAGGATGGGAGTGCATGTGGGATGTTCTCTCTAAAATCCCTGTCCTAAGTCAAGGATGCACAGGAAAAAGAGGAATAAAAACACCAGGAGTACACAGGACAGCAAGATATGGAAAAGCAGGACAGGTCCAGAATTCACCATTTCCAGCACATTGCAATGTTCAGAACACATTTTCCTCTGGATAATGGATGTAAGGAGACTTAGAGACTGAACAGGGAGAGCTACCCTGGCTTTACACACTTGAAAAGCTGTCTCTCAAGTGTCCTGTCAGGAAAACTGTATCCTTAGCAATGCTGAGGCAGATCCCTGTATGAGATGACACACAGGACCTAGGGAAAGTACTGAACCAAAGCTGTATTTCCCTTCACAGCACTGCACACAAAAACATCCTCCTTTGAGTCAGCAGCAGAATAAGGGGGTTAGTTAATGATTAAAGCCACATCCAGAAGCCAGTGAACCCTGACAATTTTAACTCTTATCAGAGAAAGGGCCAAACACAGGCAGCCCCAAATCCTCACTGTAGTCAAGGCTCCAGGGGCAATACCTGAGCACCAGGCAGCCCAAAGCACAGGAGCAGCTCTTGCTTGTGTGCTTTGGTGCAAGTGTGCATGAACAAGAAGGTGACCTGGAAGCAAGAGTGAAAAGCAGTGCTGTGGCAATGGCAAGAGAGAAAACAGCCTTCCAAGGCTGGGTGGAATGGGAGTGGGGAATAAAACCCATCACAAGTTCACGGAAAAATATACCAATTTTCAGTGAGTTAACATTTCAGCCAAAAGATGGCTGGCACCTTTTGGTGCCTCACATTAATTCTTCCCCATCTTTAGACCACAAAGTGGTTTCACCTGTTTCACTAGGGAAAGGGAAAAATGCAAATAGGAGTCACATACAAGCTGTGGCAACATGCCACAGAAATTAAGGCTCCTGCAGCCACAGTGCCTGGCCTGTGAGTTCTTCCACAGAACAGGCAGCAGGCAGACACCCTCCCTAGAGCTTGACCCACTTTTATTTTTTTTTCCTTTCCAAACTCAGAATCAGCATGAACCTTTCTAAACCTGTGTGCAACTCACTGCTGCATCACTCCTTTGCCACCATCAAATGGAGAACTAGTGACCAAACTTTGTATTTGTTTTAGGACCATCTACCACAGAAACTTTGGGGCAAAGGAATATTTAGGAACATGGCCTAAGCACTTGACTAACAAGCCAAGAATATTGCATGACTGCCTTTGATAAGAAATCCAGGCCAAGTGGCCAGATCCAGGCCAAGTGCCAGCCTGTCAGGGCTCTGTCCAGCCTGCCATTTGTGCAGAGCCTGAAGAACTGCCCAGGACAGATCATTAATAAGTGACAAAGTTGTCCTTGAACCCAGTCTCTATACTTGTAACAGCAGCTGTTTATTTGGGCACTCTCATTCTAATTCCTGGGAATTTATTCTGCTTTTCCATTCCCACCCTGTGTGGCCCTTCTACTGTATTTACATACAAGTGTGTATTTACATACACACTTTAAATACTGAGGCTGCCATCAAGGTCACCAGTGACAGAGGAGGTTTTCAGCCTACCAGGAGAATTCAAACTGCAAATCAAGTCAGTCATCCTCTGATGACAAGATAAGATGAGCCAAACCACTTAAAGATGGCAGAATTAGGGCCTTAAGCATTATTAAAAAAAACCAAAAACTCAAAAAACCTGCATCTACTTACAAGAATTTGGCAGCAGAATGAATTTATGTCCAGGACATCAGGCTTGGACAGAAAAGGAAGAAATTCACCAATTCTTGCACCAGGCATATTTGTTCTAGGCTAAGTCCCTAAGAAATGAATTGTTTATGGAAAAAGAGACAATCCAATACTAAACAAAGATGGGGAAGCTGAGCAGGAAAAAACAGATCAGCACTAGCACAATTGCTAGAGAGTGTGCAAGAGAGCAGGAATTTGCAGTCCCTCTGATAACAGCAATGGAAAGAAGAAGTACAGGCTGTGCTACCAGGGTCATGTGTAGCTCAGGAGTGTCTGGCAGAGGGGCTGGGACTAAAGGACCAGTGTTTCTAACTCCATTTTAAAGGTGTAAAGACATTTTAATTTGTACTGTCTAGGCAAGAGGAGAGGACAGCAACCAAGTGAAAACTCTTCCTCATTACTCCAGGATGCCAGTGAGAGTGTGAAATTCTTAGGCATGCCTTTGGGCACACACACACATCCCACTTGTTTAAGTCTGGAGTGCCAAGGAGTTCCTATTAATATTGCAGCAGTAGGGAGAGAAATCACATCCTCCAGCAGCTTCCCAGGAACAGGACAATATGTCATTCTCCAAAGGGGTCTCAGCACAAACTCATGGTGCTAGCAGCCGCAAAACTTGGGAACAAATGCCTCAAGCTGAAATCAGAAAAGGAGTGCAGAGGTATTTTTAAAGAAATGTGGAGATACTTAGAAGATTTTCCCCAAGAACAGCTCAGGCTGGTACTGTCAGAAAAACAGGAAGAAAATGGAATCTTGGACTCCCACTGTGTACCCACCTCTCCTCTGCTGTACATTTCTGCAGGAGCAGAGCCCATGGAGAGAGCTCTCATTCATGGAGCCTTACCCACCACTAAAATACTGTGGAAAACACATCCAAGGACACCAGCTAGAGGTGCAGCTGAGTCACCTGGAAACCTTCCTGTGGCTTCTGCCTGAGAAGCTCCAGAAGAGTACAATGATGGAAATGTTTCACTTTTGCCTCACCTCCACACTTGCTGCTCTTGGCCCATTCTCAGTTTCATTATTGATATTACCCTACAGCACAACCACTGCTCCAAGATCTTATCTAAGCAGACGTGACAGCAAGATGGGAAGCAACAAGGAAAGACAAATAAACACCTAAAAATAAAAGCCAGGTCATTTTCTTACTCCCTGCCTAGCACTGAAGTTGGCAGTTCTCATGGCTGCCTTTTTTAATCAGGGTTTATTCAAGAAAATCACTCTTCCCAGAGCAAGATTCAAGACGGTAGAGCAGGCTTATTACAGAGAAAAATAGCAGTTTCCCCATCAAGAAGATAAAAGATAAAAAGTTTAAACTTGTTGCTCTATTGCAAGGAGAAAGTGTCTTTTGCCCTCTAAATAATAATAATTAAAAAAAAAACCTAATCCTTCTCATGCTGGAAGAGAGGAGAAAAGCTCATGTTATTCCCTCCAACTTCAGAGCTCTGCAAGCTCATGTTTTCATTTAGGGTGTGCCTAATTAGAAAACACTCTGGCAAGCAGAGAAATACCAACAGTTGTGCAATTCCACCTCTGTCAAAAGCAACACAAATCATCAGCTTCCAACAGGCATCAACAACCTGTCAAACATGCCAGGTGCTGAAAGCAAAAGGCCTTCAAGGATTCTCTCCAGGATGAGCTGTGTTTGCCTGAGTGCATGTTTTTAAATCAAAGCAAAGAAACCCTCCCATCCTCAAACACCTCAGAGAGAAACAAGAACTCTTTGCCAAGGATCCTTTTTCTCTGCTGGGCTGCTCTGTATTGCCTTGCTGTTGATATTTGCATTTTGGTATTCTAAATACAAGCAGAGTCCTGGGTCATCCACAACCCCTACCTCCCACTAATGGGAATGTGTTTCATATCCTGAAGTGCTGTTTTATGGTCTGGGAATTTATTTTGGTTGGGATTTTTTGCTCAGTTGCTTTCTTTTTTCAGTGTTTTCCCCCCTCCAAATTTGTTCATTTTTCAGCCGCTCCAGCACCTCCTGAAACAGAGGTTCAGTTTCCATTCTTCTTCCACCCCTAAAGATGAGCAGGGTGAAGACAGAAACTGAATTAGAGTAGACAGAACTGAATTAGAGTAGAATTACAAGGACCCAGCAGTTGTCATTATCTGAAAGTAATGCTTCTGAACCAGGAACAATTTGCCTTCATTTTTACTTCTAGCTGCAAGTATTTCAACCTTTCACCAGCTCCCTCCAGTCACTGCAAGTAACCCAAACACACAACCACACCAGGCAAAGCAGAGAGACCAGCTGGAGACCAAACAGCCTGCAGCAACCCTAACAGACCTTGACATTCTGCAGTGTCCCACCAAAGCTTTTTCTGGATAACAAACAAGTGAATGGAACCACAAACTTTAAAGTAATCTCATGTTTTCTAGAGAACAACACCTGAATTTTCTATGCCCTAAAGCACCCACAGACCCCCAACAATATTTTACCAACACATATGCTTAGAAGAAAGCCACCATGACGTGATCAGGCACAACTTAGGAACATTTTGCCTCCAATTTCACATAAGCTGGAAAGGAAGGAGGATCAGGTAAATTTGCACAGCACAGCCTTTTGCATGTTATGAGAATCCTTTAGAAGGCAGCACAAGAAGGATATTGGAAACAGATAATTCCCATTTAACAGGAGCATAAAGTGCTTTGTCTCTCGTACAAGAGAACAGCTATCCTCCAAGTTCCTCCTAGGCAGAACATCCTTTCATTTCAAAATTTTCAGACACAGAGGCTCATATAAAGTTTCTGTACTGATAGAAATGCATTGTTTCACCGAACAGCTTAAAAAGAATTGTTAAGACAATCCAAGAATGGGCCCAGGGATAGTATTGAACCTCAGGGAAAGTAAAGCTGTACAAGCTGTGCTGGCACAAACACATTCTCTGGAATATTCCTCTGACCTCTGTCCATGTAGTGAGGCTGTGGTGTACTGAGGTGGGAGAAGAGCCAAGAGATGAAGAATAATATTGAAAATAAAAGAACTACCCATATCCCCTGTTATTCTGTCTCACTACCCAGCCTTTAAAAGAATACAAATTTTGTAAATGCAGGTAAACTGTGTCTAGAAATAAAATAAAGAGGAAGATAAAAAGAAAATGGAAGGACATGGAAATGGCTTACCACTGCGTTCCTCAGGTCTTAGGCTCTTCTTTGCCACTTCTGCCAGCGCCCCAATGCCAAGACCAACAGCCAGTCCTTTAAAATAACATGAAAAAGACTCAAGTCAGAATGAAAAAACCTTCCAAGCCACATACAGAAGCATTTTTGGTAATTAACTTTAATATTGTTCAAATGTTACAGCTCTACAACAGCTCTACTAGAACATCCTGGCCTTTGCAATGGAGCCATCTTCACTGGACACTGAAGAGTTTTCTCTTGTACTTCTTCAGCCCAGCATGCCAGCCAGGAATCATAGGCTAGGCCAGTCTGGGACATCTGGCTTTCATAAAGCATGTCACAAGTGTTACTCAGAGCTTTGTGCTCTGGCTGATGTCCTGCTGCAGACTCAAATCATGGAGTTTAAAAAAAGGGAAGAAAAAGAAGCCAAAACTCTCACAAACATGGTTCTCAAAGTACAATTCTCAAGAAGGAACAGAATCCCTCTCACTGCCCACCATGCCACAACAGCAGGAGGAAAAGCATCATTTAGGATGAAGCCACTGGCAATAAAATGTAAAGTTGTGCAACCTTGCTGTCCAACTTTAGGTTTAATTGTGCTCATTAGCTGCCTCTTCCTTCCCTGAGCTCATTTACTGTGATGAACAGAAACGTGTTTTACCCCAAGGCTCACCTCACACCAGCAGCGCTGCAACCTGCAGTGCAAGGAGCTGGGCTCAGGCTGGGGAGCAATCCCACACAGCAGTAAAACCAGGAGACAAAACACAGCACTGCCCATGCACTATCAGAGAACTGCAGGGAGGTTCCACAGCCACAGGTTACAGGAGTACAAAAGCAGCATTATCTGCCTCTGCTAACCACTGCAAAGCCACCCAAGAGTAAATGAGGCACAGATCTAATCATACAACCAAAGGTCTCACTGCCTTCCCAATATCAAAATATTTATTTTTCTGGATAATAAATGGCATGGGCAATCAGAACAGATGGTGCTGCTCCAATCTCCTCAGCAGTGGTGCATCCTGCTGTGCTCTGCGCCCACACTGCTGACAGAACTGGGTGCACCTGCTTTCCAAGCACCCCAAGCCCTCCTTAAGGCACTGCTGGAAAACTTCCCAGGTAAAAGAACCAGGGAGCAAAGTCAGCACAATGAAGGAAGCAGAGCTGTCCAGCACGTGGCACTTTGCACGTGTGCAGGAAGAACCACATGCACAAGTTTTGTAGACTCAAGTGAGCGAGCCTGGCCACAAACAAGGTGACCCTGATCCTGCACTGGAGCTTTTCCTCTCTCCCACCAGGCAATCACAACTCCCCCTCTCCCTTGTATAGTTTGTCTGCTTCACAAACAGCTCCATTTTAATCTTACAGACTACATGCACTGGGGCCAGAGAATCCTGCATAAGGTGAAGCACAAGATCATCAATGATATTACAAGGTGGTTGGGGTTTGGGGTTTTTGGTTGGTTTGGTGGTGGTTTTTGTGGGATGGTTTTGGTTTGGGGTTTTAAAAAGAAATTTCTATATTTTCTGCAAGTTTTTCTATGGAGTCACAGCACTGAAGGAAGTCTGATGTTAGTAACTACCTTGTGTAGACCCTTCAATTGTGCCAAACCATGCACCACCAATTAACAAGTGTTTTGCACCAGAAATCCAGAGATTTTATTAGCTAAGCAAAGTGAGAAAAATACTCCTAGGCTTCAGAGAAGCAAAAAGGTTTTTTTCAAACACAGCATAAACACCTACTAAAATGCTGATACATGATCATTTCCAATCAGATCCCACATACAAGACAGTAACTTGGAGCAGGCAGTACCAAGAGTCAGATAAGAAGCCAATAAATACATCTCATCAATAAGATGTGATTTTCTAGACTAAATACCACTCACAGAACATTTCTGTTGGGCTTGATCCCACTTTTACCACCTCCACAACAATGCTCCCCACCATAAATCAGCTTGATCATTATCTGAGTTAGACTGAACTGACTGGCAGTAATTGGTTTCAGAGTAAAAACATCACATCTTCTTCTATAGGCTCTATGTTCAATGTCTAAAATTAAAAATTACCAGATTTACTTCCTGGACATAAAATAAAACATATCTGAAGCTTCTAATCTCTTCATCATTAAGACACAAACCACTTCAAAGGTAAATGAAAATCTAGGAACCAGATTCTACTCTGTCATGCAGAATAAAGCTGAAGAAGTTACAGCTTGTTTAAAGGCAGCTTGGGTTTACATCAGTGTGGGCAAGATCAGACTACAGATGAAAGTGTTTTGCACCTTCCTTCTCATAAATGTGCACAGCTAAGCATCTGCACTAATATTGTAGACTGCACTAGAAAAAGAGCTGCTTTTTCAATAGGTGCTCTTACAACTTCCTCACTGCTCACTCTGTCCAATTTCCAAAAAAAATGAAACCAAATCGCCAATCAACAACAGTTTTAGATAAACGAAGTAAAATCAGGCAAAAACAAGTGCAGGTTAAACAGCTGCTGAGCTTTAAAGATCTGAAGTTTAAACAAAGGCTTCAAACTACAATCACAGTGTTTGCTGCTGCTTAGCAGTCAAGCTTGCATAAAAAGGAGGATGTAAGGGTGGATGTTTGGGGCTGAGGTGTTTGCCTTCCCAAGGAGCTACTCCAGATGCTGAGGTGCTGCTTCCCAGGAGCACAGGACATCTGCCTGCCAGCTGGGAGCCCTGAGTGAACTCCTCTTGTTGCTTTGCTTGAACGTGGAGCTTTCTTTGCTCCCCCTCTGAAACTGTCTTTATCTCAGCTCTCAAGTTTTTACTCTTTCCTGTTCCTTCCTGCAGTGGGAAGAAATGAGTAGGCAGCTCTGTGGGGCTGAGCTGCTGCTGTTCACCTGTTACCAGGAACAAATCATCCTCCAAAGAACCTGCAGTGCTGCAGAAGCTCCTCTGGGCCACTAATCTACTTGCACAGGACATTCCTGATGTCCTTCACTTCCCTTGTCTGCAAGAGGTGTATTTCCTCCAAGATTATTCATTCTGGGACAGTTCTCAGCAGTGCTCAACAGGCAGTGTTGAGCACCTTGAAAAAATAATATCCTTAAGTACCTCTATGAAGTCATTCTCCTGCATTTTGCACTTCAAGCAGATTATTTCAGGCCTGGAAAATGCCCCTTGGTTCTATACCAGCAGAGTGGCTCTCAGAATATTTTCCAGGCATCTGCAGCATGTGGTGCACTTCAAACCAAGCCTATCAAGGGATGATGTGGAACCAGTTTTGTTCAGGGCAAAGCCTCCTGCTCAGCAACTGAGACAACAAAAAACCAGGAGCTGAATGGGCTGTTATCACTGCTCAGCCTGCCAAGCACAGGGTGGGAGCAAGAGCCTCCCCTGCAGCAGCTGTGCCCTGGTTTTGGTCAGCTAAAACACCACAATCACCACACAGCACACACTGAGAGCTCCTCAGCTGGACAGGGCAGTGAGGAATATCATGGAAGGCTCATGGGTCAGGATAAGGACAGGGAGATCACTCAGCAATCACCATCACAGAGAAAACAGACTCCACCTGGGGAAATGAGCTCAGTTTATTACCAATCAAATCAGAGTGGGATAATGAGAAATTAATACTAAATCATAAAAGACATTCCTTCTACTCCTCTGTCGGATTTGCAAGGTGCCCTTGAGCAGGAAGAATGATGTGCAGAACTCCAGCTTCTGGGAATGACTGGCATCTGACTCCATGATATCAGAAAGCTAATTAATTACTTTCTTATATTATAATATAACTATATTACACTATATCACACTAACAAGAACTATCACTAACTAACTAACTCAAAAAACTTGTGATTCTCTGCCTGAGAGTCCCAACACCCACACGTGGATCCAATTAGTCAATGGATCCAAACACCCTCACCAGAATCCAATCCAGCAATCACCTTGGGTAAACAATCTCCAGAACACACTCCACATGGGCACAAACACAGGAGCAGCAGATGAGATAAGAATTGTTTTGATCATTCTTTTCTCAGCTTCTCTCAGGAGAACTCTGAGAAAGCGAAATCTCTGTTCAGAGGGCATGTGAATAACACACTCCTCCCTTCTTCCTGAGTTTAACTTCACTCCTGAATTCTGCTCCTCCCTCCTCAGGGAGAGAACTCCTCACTCTGCCCTGCTCCAGCGTGGGGTGGCTCCCACAGGAGACAGCTCTCCACAAACTTCTTCAATGGGAGTCCTCTCCATGGGCTGCAGCTCCTCACAGCCTGCACAGACCCAGCACAGGGTGCAATCCTGCTCCTGTGAGGGCTTCACAGCTTCCTTCAAGCATCCATCTGTTCCCTGGGGGCTCCTCCATGGTCTGCAGGTGGAATTCCTCCATTGTGGCCCTCCATGGTCTGCAGGGACACAGCTGCCTCACCATGGGCTGCCAGGGAATCTCAGCTCCAGCACCTGCAGCACCTTCTCCACCTCCTCCTTCCCTGACCTTGCTGCCTGCAGGGCTGTTTCTCTCACTCCCCTCTCCAGCTGCAGTTTTTTCAGGATTTTTTCCTCCCTTCTTAACTCTTATCCCAGAGGCTCTGCCACCAGTGCTGAGGGCCTTGGCTTGGAGCCACCTTGGAGTTGGACATGGGGGAAGTTTCTGGAAGCTTCTCCCTGCAGCCAAACCCTTACAAGCAAACCCAATCCACTCACTTGCCACTCACAGCTGTCAGATCTGTATACACTTTACTAACATACCTCAACAGAGAAGGTTTTTGCTTTTTTTGTTTTCGAAATTGTTATAAATCACATTAAATCTAGACTTCACCACCAGCTTCCTGAATTTTCTTTATTGCAAAAGAATCTTATTATATCATTAAAATAATAAACTTATAAACCAGGAATATGATTAAGGGAGACAGGAGCAGCTTAGAAAAGTTAAATAAGGCAAGGAAGGGAGAATGGAAATATAAAAAAATCAAGAACTGAGCAATGGAACTGATGACCCATCAGGTCAAAACAAGCATGGAACAAAAAAAAAAAAAAAAGAAAAAAAAAAAAAAAAAAAAAAAAACCTGCAGAAAAATCTGGTTTGTCAATTACAATCCTGGGAAGAATAAATAAATAAAAATCAAGGATGCTATTTAGTACTATAAATACACCTACCAGCAGTCACTCTGGCTGCTGCAAAAAGCAAACAAAAATACCTATAAAGGACTAGGAGGTTCAGTAGAGGATCTTGTGCTGATCACAGAGCAATATTAGCTCAGTATTACAGGCAAATGTTGGAAAACATGATCTTCAATCTTTCCAGTAAAATGCACTTTGCCCACAGAAGAGGTGAGAAGCCAGGCAAACTCAGCAGTCCAAGTATTTCTGCCTCCTGTTGCTAATTTGTCCATCACTTACCAGAGTGTCCTGACATGATGGCTGAGACACAGCTGAACACTCCTATAACACTGGAGGGGATGAAAGAAAACATGCAAAGACAGGAGGAGGAATGGGATCATGCCAATAGCATGGGAATTCAGCTATCTGAACCCCAGAAAAGTTATATGAACTCTGGTTTTGACCTACTTAACATCCTATCCAACATTAAAATAATACTGTGCAAATATAGGGAGAAAGGAGGAAAGTTGATTTTATTTAAAAAAAAATAAAAAACCTCAAATGCTAGTTTGACTGGTGTGGAGATTGTAGAAGAATCCACCTTAACCACTTTATTTCCCAGAATGATTGAATGATTTCTGGGGGTCTTCAATTGAAGATGGCATCCCAAAACACACAAGAGAATTCCTACACAAAAAGTTTCCTTGCTTTGAGCCACATTCCCTCACAGACATGGAGCAGCCTCCTGCCCTTAGTTATTTTTAAGGCAATGTGAGGAGCCAGGCAGCAGAGCAGGAAATAATCACCTCCCACCTCTGCCATTCCTTGGCTGAATCTTATCAAATGATGATTTGAATGCCCTAGGAAGTGAGGACACAGCTGGCTCACTAATATTTCACAGGTTAACAGTGATGTTTCCTGCAATATTTCTTCATCCTCCCCCATCCAACCTGGCCTTCAACACCTCCAGAGATGGGATATTCCCAATTTCTCTGGGCAGGCTGTGCCAGTGCCTCACCACCCTCTGAATAAAGGATTCATTCATTTATAACTAATAACCTTTATAACTAATCTGAGCCTGCCCTCTGTCAGTTTAAAGACATTATCCCTCATCTTGTTACCAGAGGTCCTTGTAAAAAGTCCCAAAATAATACCAAGGGATATCTTAAACTGAAATAAATTACCTATAGACCACATCTGTTGTTTGCTAAGCCACTGTACTGACAGTACTGTTTCTCTTTGCTGTTGCAAATTAAAATTCAGAGGGAAAGATAAGCAATGAATGCTAACATGAGATTGCAGAGACCAGAGAATCTGAACAATTTCTGCAAAATAATTTTCCCCCAGCAGCCCTCTGAAAGCAAGCACTCTCTCTTGCCAGCCATTTTACTCATATGAAGCAGACAACTGGAGGAGAGTAGCAAGACTAAAAAAAAATAAATGACACAGATGTCTGGAGATGCTGCTTACGAGCAATCTCTTTCTTTCCTACTCTTCCTTAGTGGTTTTGGTCTGGTGGGGCTGTTTGTTTTGGTTTTTACCTTGAGGTTAGGAGAAGACAGGTTATACTTCCCCTGGAAGATGAGTTAGCCTTCCCTCCCACAACAGCCTTGGGTGCCCAAAGCTGGAACACAAACAATTTAACAATTATTAAACTGTTAACAATTGTTAACAATTTAACAATTCCAACAGCACTGGAACCCAAAGTTTACAGAAAATTTGCTCATCTGCCACTTCACATCCACCAGCTGTCAGCAAGCAGCAACAGAGGAACCCAGAAGAGGGCAGCTAAAAGTGCTGTGATATTTCCCCTAACATTCAAGGCTAGATTAGAATGGACACCTGTGTGCTCCTAGAGCTTAAGAACAGAGTAAGTGAGTTTTAAAGTAATGCCTCCAAAAAGAGATCATGAACCCTGCTTCCCCTTAAGGAATAATAAGCATGCTGTGATGCCAGAGTGCCTGCAACAGACTGCAGGGTTAAAGAGATCTGATAAGCATGAAAAACTTATCACAAAATTCACTTGCTGTTTATTTCTGCACTGCATAGGATCAGCCCCTGCCCCAGCTTCTCCTAGTGTGTGTGCCTGTTAGTCTGACAAAAGGACACACAGACACATATTGTTTTTTTATATAATAGTTGATTTGAATTACATTTGACAGATTATTTTTCTTTCTTCTGGGATCTGTAACACAAGGATGTCTACTTTGTACATGTGCTTCTCCATCAAATTTTGTGGAAGAGAATCACAATAGCCACAAGAGACTGTTCACAACCTAGATAGGCCACTATCATCTCCAAACAGTAAAGTCACAAAAAAACCCAAACACAGCAACACACAGACTCCTCATCCAAGGAGGAGCATTACCTAAGTAGCACTAGCTGTGTTCATCTCTCCTGCAATATCTGATACCTTATTCCTTAGGAACATGTTAAGTCCTGATGATTCTGGATACAAGACATTAAATAAGCATCATCTGTCAATATTACTTAAGATATTTAGCTGCTTTTTGATATAGCAAGTCCCATTCTGCAAGTAAAATTCATTTAAGTTTCAGCTAGCTTGATCTTACAAGCTCAGAATTTACATCTTTCCTGGGAGAAAATGGTCTACAAGCAATGGCTTAGTAAATCAAACCTTGACTATTATCATCTCCCCATGCTCCAAAAGGAATACCAGGAGGAAATGTTTTATATTTAAACACTGTTCAGAGGAGTAGCAAGGATAAGACTGGGGAAGGATTACTTAGAATAACAGCTGCTCCAGCTGTTTCTGCTTGACAGTAACAGCAAACTGTAAGGACTGGGAGAGTCTCCTCAAAGTGCAATCACATGTGCAGGAGCAGGGTATTTGCACAGGCTGGGGAACAGCCTGCACCTCAATCTACCATTTGAACAGGGAGACTGTTTTAATGACATGGTGTGTCACCATGACAGCTCTACCATGCACCCCCAAATCGTCTGCCCCACACTCTAAAGATCGATGACAAAGCCCAAATGGAGCTGATTGAGGGAAAGCACTTTGCTGTCAGCAAGCTGAACTGCTGATAGGGCGGCAGTGGAACCCCCAGGGGTGCAGAGCAGGAGCCCTGTCACAGGCAGCCGTGCCAGCAGTGCCAGTGCCATGGCAAGGGGGGCAGTGCACACTGACCTCCGAAGTTGGCGAGGCGGCCGATCCTGGTGACGGGAACCTTCCTCTCCCGGGCCCGCTCGCTGAGCTGCAGGGGAGAGACAGGGGGGAAAATCAAAACAAGAAATCCACAAATGAACTGGGCACATGCTCAGACACCTGCAAAGCCAGAGCACAAGCCAGAGCACTTGAACAGCTCATGCTGCAGAAAGCTTTCCTTGAACCCTTGAGATTTTCAAGGGAATACCGATCAGAACAGATACATCCTGAACTGAAATACACACTGAGCAGAGGAGAGGACAGGAGGGTGGGAAAGACAGAAGAGCTGATAACCATGTTGGGAAACACCATTTTCACTTTCAACTTTCAGCAGCCCTTGTATTTGGAACTTGGAGAAGCCACACAGTGCTAACCCAAACTCCCTTCCATGCATGGCATTAGAACTCATGGAGGGTGATCAGATTCACAGAACTGTAATTCACAGGACTGTGGACAGTTCCCCCATACACAGCAGGAGCAGCTAAGTGTACAGTTACATCCAACATCCTGAGGGAGTGAGCCCAGGGGCATCTGATACTGGATGTGGGGAAGGGACACAAGGTCACAGCAGGTGACAAGTGTCTGCACTGGGCGTTCTGCACTCACACCAGGGCATGAAGCACTAAAGTGAAAATTGTGAGCTGTGCTACTCTCCAATCTCCTTATGCTCAGGGCAGCATTGCCTCCACCTCTCCAACTGCAAGATGCCACACAGGAAGCCACAGCCTCCACTGTGAGGAGCTTAGGTCCAATCCTAAGCCTATGTACACTTTTTAAACATCCTCTCACATCAGATTATCTGACATAGAGGGAGCAAGTGTGAAAAGAGAGACTGAAAAGCTATTGACAGAACAAATATCACAGGGTTAATGAGCACTGACATTTCCCTCTTTTCCGTCCAAAAAAGGGAATAGTGGAAGAGGAAGAAATGAGAGAAACAGGAGAAGGTGAGTAAGGGCAATGTGGTACAGACACCACAGCAGTGAGAATCCTTAATTAAACAACATACCATCTGTTTGTAGGGTTTCTGTCCTGAACCTGTTTTGGCCTGTCTGGCTTTATCAATATCTTCAGCTGTTAATCCACCAACAGAGGAATGGTCTTGGTGAAAAGCTCTATTTTGTCCAAAGGCAGTAGCAAAAGGATTTCCAGGGTCCCTAATGCCTCCAAATAACCTTGCATCCATTTTGGGAGGGAAAGGCTTCTGACCCATGCCAGAATCTCCAGTCTCATCGATATTTCTAAAAGGTCCATTTGTTGTGTAGGAATAAGCAGGGCCTTCAGTGCTGTGTTCCTGAGGCTTGCCAGGGGCAGTGGAGAAGTCCATTGGAGCATCTGATGGCTCTCTGGCTGAGAAGTCATAGTCTTTCCCAAAATCCTCACCGAGGTCAGTGAAGTTCTCCTGCTGTTTGCCAAGCTCCTGCAAACAAGAATTGAAACACTTGAAGAAAAGATCTTTAACTTTGCTCCCTACCCAGCCATGGTCCTCAGAGATGAGCATGCAGCTGGGTGTCATGTCCCCACAGTGAAGAACTGTACAGACAGAGACTGGCACTGCAGACATTCACAGTAAGAGAGAAGAAAGAAAGGAAGAGACACTGATGTTGCCTGGAATCCCTGACAACCTTTTAACTCCACTGATAGACAAATTCTTCAACAGTTTCCCAATATCCATAACTGGAGACACCCTGTCTTTACATACATGCCAGAAAAGGTCACTAAATATGGAGTTCACTAGAAGCAGTGCACTGCTCAGAAACAACAGGTGATTGGAGCTGCAATATCACATCAGAATAATGTTGTTTTCCCTCCTCCCACCCTGTTTTCAGCCACACAATGTGAGCACTTCCAAGTCCAAAGCCACCTGAAGCAATACCAGATACCTACTTACAGGCAGAGTAAGCTCAGCCCTTCACAGTCATAACACCACCAACTGCAAAACACATTCCATTATTCAACCACCAAACTATGTGTTGTCATCCCAAAATAAATAAAATTCTGTGCCTGGAGCAAGGATAACAGCACCAGGCACAGCAACACTCCTGACACTCTTTTCTGTCTCAACCTTGCAAAAGCTGCCCCACAAAGTCCAGGTATTTTTTAACACTTTTCAGTCAAAAATAAATACATAAATAAAAATCAACAGCAGAGCATTATCTCTAGTTACCTACCTCAGCAGTGGCAGTACCATAAAATAACTGATGACTATTACAGGCTATCAAATAACTGATGACTATTACAGGCTATCAACAGGATTTTAAATCCTGCTGTGGTCAGGCAAGCTGGCAACATATTTTGGGCTCTTTCCTAAACACTAATTACATTTCCCTTCCTTAGAGAAAAAGCAGAACATGGTCTTTCCTGTTATTCAGCAGATCTCATACTATTCTGAACCTCAACATCACAGTGGGGGAGGAGAGGAGAAATGTTTACAGATGGGGACTGTGGCTCACAATACTGACCAGTGATTACAAGCAAGAAAGCTTTCTTACCTCCATAATTAAATTTTTAGAAACATTCCAGACAGCTAAACCACTGCCAATTAATGTAAAAGATCTTCCTCTCTTCAAAACAGAAAATGCTGTATGCTTATATTTCTTACTGAGCTCTGCTTTGACAGGAGCTTCTCTTGGAACCCATTTACCTAAAGCAGGGCAAGTGTTCTGCAGTTGTGCTCATTGGGCTTCTCTTGTGCAGAGGAACATGCACAGAAACAGAACATCTCTCCTCTTGGGTGCAAGACAAAGCACTATCCCACAAACAAACATGCAAGTTAGTTCTACTGCAAGCTTAAATAGAACCAAGTAAACACTGGCCCAGATTCTAGGACTAAAGCTATAGATTGCTTATTGCATAAAAACCATCAAAATCTCATTCCTTAGTTTCTGCTTCAAAAATGATCATCTGAGCTACACACCCCTTCCAGAGGATGATGAGAGAGAAGTACCACAGATAAACCCCTCGCTTTCAAAAGATGGCAGCACAGCAGATGTGAAGCTCTTACAGATCTATCCCATCTCTGATGAGAGAAGCTGCTGTCTGCCTTTCCTTATGTCCCTCATTTGAAAGCCAGTTCCAAAAATCCAGCCTGGGCTGGAAGTGGTGAATGTGCAAACACCTGACCCTGAGCCACTCTGAAAAATATCACCAATTCTGCCAAGAAAGGAAGCAGCACTGAGATAAATCCAATGCACTCTAAAAGAGAGGTAAATCAATGCCCAAAGTTTAAAGGAGACTCTAAATAACAAAGTTGCTGACCAATCTTAGCAAGAGCTTGATCTTTAACAAGATGGGACAAATAGAGCACTTTTCTTATTCTGCATGTCTTAAACACTCAGGAAAGGAAACACTAACATTCCCCTCCCATTCCTGTCCAAGCACCTTCCACACACCACAGATTCCAAAGAATTCCCAGAGCACTGCAACATTACTATTATCAATCCCACAGGTCAGAACCAGGCTCTCATTCAAGATGTGACACTCACACAACAAAACCAAAAACAGCACCTGGAGAAAATGCAAAACAGACTAGACTGTGCTCAAAGAGCTTTGCTCACCTGCACTTTGCCCAGGGCAGAGCTGAACTGTTCCTCAGCAGCAGCCTGGAGAGTCCTGGCAATGGTGACTGCATCTCCCCCGAGGAGCACCTGCCGCAGCTGCCCTGCCTGGGTCTCCAGGATGGCTTTGCTCAGCTTGGTCAGGCCCCTCATGACCATGATGGCATCACCCGCCATGACTGATCAATTTCTGTGCTGGAAGATAAAAAGGGAGAGGGAGCAGAGAGACAAGAGGTCAAGAACAAGTTTGCAGCAGATTTCGTGTCCCCAAGAGCTGGTAGCAGATACCTGGGAAATCTCTTCCTGCTCTGGCAAGCAGCCACCATGGGAACCTGTGTGCAGCCCAGAGAGCACCCAGGCCAGCCTGAGGGCCTGCTTAGCTGATCTTACCAGGAAAAGAGAATTCTCCTTGCTCTCATGAGTTAGGATAACCTTCCAGGACTCTACACAAATATCCAAGTTACCATTGAGCAAGGCAAGCAAAGACAGTAAATGTCAGTGAACACTACAAAAACTGTCTTGATTCCTTCCAGATGTTAGAAGTGGATTAAAAACATTAACATTTGACCTTTAATTATTATGGAGCCTTGGAACATGTTCTCAGGTCCTGACAGCACTGATGAAGTTCACTGTCACATTCCATCCCTGCCCTGGAGTTGGGCCTGCTCATTTTACATAGCTGAATTTCTTTACTCCCACACCAGTGATCAAGCTTTGTCCATCCTCCAAAGGTAGCCTGCTCCATAGTCTGTTCTGTCCCCAACTTGTAGCTTGAAATGATTTGGAGAGAAAAAAAAAAATGTTCTGACTGCAATAGGTAGAGAGCACTGGTCTAAGGCCACATATTTAAATTATTTCCTAGGTCGGTACACAGGTATCAATCAGTTTTTAGAAGATAACTTGTCAACATGCACATATACTCAACTATAAATGTTAATATACTCATGTGTACAAGTGGTCTTGAGTTAACTCTGCTACTTCTAATTGGAAATTTAAGCATCTCACAACACCTACCTACTACAGCATTTGCAAAGTGCTGCACTATAGTCAATTTTTGACTCAGCCCCCCTTCCTTTTCAAGGGGTTCCATCTCAGATTTGGAACAGCCTGTGCCACTTCAGTGTCCTCAAATACAAACTGGGCACTGCAGGATGGAGGACAGTGTGTTTGACAAGAGTGATTTCCATCAACTCCTTTGGCTCAGCCTAGAGCCAAGCTCAGGCTCAGCACAGTGGCTCTCCTACATGACTGTGGTTCATGCAAAACAAACCCAGTGGTTTGGGTGCAAAACCATTTTGCAGGGGAGATTTTCACCTGCTTATTTCACTCATCTGCTACACCCTTCAAGCACAGACAGGGTCACAGTTCCAGGACTGGCTCAGCTGCACATGTGCCCATCCTTGCTGACACAGAACACAGAGAGGCATGCAGTTGGAACAAGATGCTGACCGAGCTCCAACTTTGCCCATACAGCAGTCTCTGTAATGATTTGGAGAGAAAAAAAATATTCTGACTGCAATAGGTAGAGAGCACTGGTCTAAGGCCACATATTTATTTCCTAGGTGGGTACACAGGTAGCAATCAATTTTTAGAAGATAAGCTGTCAACATGCACATATACTCAACTATAAATGTGAATACACTGATGTGTACAAGTGGTCTTGAGTCAAAGCACACAAAGCATGACATCCAGCTGCAGACCACAAGCACCTGGATCCAGTTACCTGCTCAGGAAACACAAGCTCTGTCTCAAACATGTCTGCTGTACCTGTCATGAAGGAGAAGAATGGACTGCTAAAGCTAAATTTCTGTCCAAGTACACAAATTTGCTGCAATCAGACAGGAACTGCACAGATTACTACAGCTGAACTTCAGAGAGACATTATTATGCAGATGCAGGATAAAGCCCAGTTCTTGGGATATTTGTTCAACCACTGATATTTAATTTATCAGTGATCAAAATCTGGAACAAGCACTGCAGCCAGGAGTGTTACACTTACATATTCTATGTACACTGTTAAAAGGACAGTCAAGGGCTTACAAGGAATCTGGGCATAACAGGTTAGCTGCAAAAAAAAACCTCAAGCCCACCTAGGTCATTTTTCTGTGGTTCTCACCACAAGACCTATCCATATGCTCCAGACCTCTAAGAAGTGTTACTCCTTCATCTCTCTGAGTTTAACCACTGCAATTTGTTTTAACTTTGTATAATGCACTTTTAAACTCAAAAGTTGCCTGTCAGGGAGGGAAATCTACTCTGTCAACAGGAAGTGTTTTTCTACCCCTACATCTTCACACTGGCAATTTCCACATGGATCTCACCCAAAGCATTTATTTGCAGGCTGTCCCTGCAATTCAGAGCCAGGCAAAGAAATCAGCCATCAACCCAATACTGTCCCAGCTGAAATGAGCCCATTCAAAGGTTGTCACTATTAAGAAATAAGTGCTTTTGTGATCACAAGTATTAGCAGCAAGGAAAGCTTGAGTGCAAAAAAAGTTCATTTCCTCCATCCCAAGAAGGGCAACAAAAGGTAAAGCCAATAGAGACTTGGACAGCACACACAAAAACAAATCCACTTTTAACATGTATTCTTACTAATCAATAGCAGTAAAACTATACACTTCTTTCACCCCAAACCAGCCAAAGACCTTGCTATGATGTGCTACATGTGTGCTTTTTAAAAGAAATAAATCTCCAAACAAAATTTCAGGGAAGCTAATGCAGCCACAAGTAGAAAACATACATTGCACAACACTCATTCAACCCTGCACTGCTAAATATATCAACATGCAAAGAGGACCTATTGCCCTGCACAGATTTGGCTACAAAACACTGCACAGGGCAAATTCGTACCAATCTCTCTCTGACTTCCATTTTATCAGCCCCACTTGCTCTGCACAGCAGCTGGAACCACCTAGGTACCAGGTAAGTGGTTTGTCACCTCAGAAGTATCAGTAACATGCTCCTATGCAGTGCTGCCAAAAGAGAGGCTACTCTAAATAAAATATATGCCAAATAATCAAGGAGGTAAAACACTACACAAAAAAAAAAAAAAACACAAAAAAAAAAAAAAAACAAACAAAAAAAACCCCAAAAAATAAACCAAAACCCAAACCCCAAAAACTGAGACAGGAAGCACACACTTCTGAGAAGGTTGGTACTGTACCAAGCAACTACACTTGTGCTAATATCCAGCACAGACAGCAGGCAAGGCAGTTTTCCCCCCCAAGTTCTATTCCTACCCTAAATCAATAAATACAGCATAAGCAAGCTCTGTCAGAAGGAGATTTAGGGAGTGGTTCCAAATGGAATTAGCCCAAGTGTACAAGGTCTGTATCACACTTGCCTTGCTCCCTGAGGATTCCCCACGTAGCACTGGCAGAGTGGGGCACTGCCAGCACAGGGCAGGGACAGGTCATGGTGTCTGCACAAGCTGTCAGTGCCTCTGACCTGGCCTGAAGAGGGCTGACAAGTGTGGATGCTGAGCCCTTTTCCAAAAATAGGCAGGGTCACAGATTTGGCTTAGTAAGCTTCTCCCAGGTGAATGAACCCCTGGAAAACCCCCAGACCTTCCAGCACTGGGGAACTGGAGTCAGGGCACCCTCAGACACCAGGCAAGGTTCACACAGTGGGCAGAGGCTCCTGCAGGTCAGATACCCCCTGATTCAGAGCCCTGCTGTCACAGCACAACCAAACCAGTGCTGGATCCTCCTGTGAGCAGCAATCAGCCTCAGAGCCCACCATCCTCTGGAGCCACTGACTGCCAAGTGTTCCCTCCCCTTTTCACCATTCCAGACTATTGGACTGAAGGTTTAAGCAAGTGCAGCTTGCTTATCACTCAGCTTATCAGAGGCCCGTAACAGAAACCAAGAGCCTGGCTACAACCAACACAAGAAATCATGGATTTGTCCCACTTTAAAAACACATTCTTCCATTTATTCCCTTTCTTTTCCATGTGCTAAAGTGTGCTTGTACAGTCACACAGATCTGCTTGAGACTCCAGGAGCTTTCCTCCTCCAGATGCTTGTACAGTGAAAAGTTTTACTCAGATATACATATGCACATGTATATATATATACACACACACACATATATATAGGATGGAGCAACTTTAAACACAAGATTTCTAATCATACAAATAGCAAAAACATACCTGAAAGTTTTCTGTGCATGACAACACAGCCTCTTCCAGTTTATGGGAATTACTACTACCAAACACTGTTGAATAATTTAAAAACCAAAACAATATAAGTTGTCATCATCCTTCAAATCAAAACAAACTAACTGACCAAAGAAAAAACATCCAAAAAATCCCCCAAACAAAACCAGAGCAGTTTTACAGCAGCCCATATTCCCTTAACCAGGTCTGCAGTTTTAGCTGCCTTCTTTATCTTCAACTCTTATTCTAAATAAATAATATTAGCTTGGACAGGTAGTAAGGCAGATAATCAGATATCACATATCAAGAAAACAGCCTCTACATCTTCCCTCTCTCCATTATCCTTTATTATAGGCACTGTTATCTTGGTTGTATCTAAACAAGGACTAAAACCCTGGCTTCAGTATAACCACCCACATCATCAGAGCAAGTGTGGCAAGAGTATAATGAAATAAAAATAATAAACACCACAAACAAGATGCAGAAGGCCAGATACTCAGGACATTGTTCCATGGCCATGAAACAAAAGCAGACTAAGTTCAATATAACTATTATTCATTAAGCTGCTCTGTAACTGTTCTTTTACAGATTTTTTCCCATTTCTTTTTATGTTTGTTGCCATACCAACCCTTTGATGTGATCCTTTCATTCATGGCCTTTTTCAGTTCCATCACACACCTCCCCAGCAGTTCCTTTGATACCAGATTGCCAGGTCCCTGCCTAGATGTATTTTCATTAGCTGGATTCCTTGGGTTGCAGCTGACCCAAATTTTAAACATGCAGGGCACAAAACCAGCATTTTAAAAGGAACAAGTTGCCCTCATCCTTCAAATCAAACTGAAAATCCACCTTGCTTATCCTTCCTTCTTCCCTTCCCCGTAACTCCAATACATTGCAGCTCCAAAGGAAATGTTTTTAAAGATGTGACCTGTAGCAGAAGTGAGGAGCCCTAGATTTGATCCTGCCCTGTGACCTGCACTCAAGCCCCCTTAAGCTGAATCCATCAAGTCTCTGAAAAGTCTCTTTACAAGCACCC